CCATCTGAAAGTGGCAACACTGTACTTTTCAAATCCGACAAAAAGTACCGAATATTGAGACTCTGTATGAGATCTCACCAAAAATCGATTTCGGTGAGATCTCATATGGAGTCTCGATATTYAGTACTAGTAATTGTTTTGAGATCTCAAATAAAATCTCATGGCGGTTATGAGTTACAAGAAAAAAAAAACCGTGGCGGTCAACGTGATATTATAGCCAAAATATTGAATACTTCACCTCAATTAGTTTTAATGATCTTCATGGACTGTGCTTAATTCTTTGACAGCCATAAGTATGCGTTTAAGGTGCCCTACCTTGGTTATACCAATTTCTTTTAAATCACRTCGCGATAAGTTCAATAACTCTTTGCCACGAATATCATTGTTGGCAAATACTTCTGTGTACTCTCCCAACTGAACTGACTCAAGCCAAATCCCTACCTCCACTGTGCTCCAGTTTGATATATCTTGACCAAGGCGTTTAGAAGATATAACATTACCTTTCCATAACTTTTGCCAAAATTGCCCTTTACGACACAATTTGTCCTATATTAAGTTAACAGAATATTTAGTTAGTTAAAAATTGTAATAAAAAGTAAAAACATTTTCAAAATGTTTTTTACTGTAGCTACAATTTTATTGATTAGTGTACCCGAGACTTCACACAATACAAATTAAAACCAACTAGAATATTACAAAATGCTACAAAACAAGCCCAATAATTACAAAAAAGTTTACTTCTTTTTTCACACTATTACAAAGATGAAACTAACTAATAATTTTAATATAGGTAATTCTCATAAAGACTCAAAAATAAATGATTTGATTAATTTACATTATCAGTAATAATGCTCATAGGATACAACCAAGTTATTGAATAATTATTTATTAGATAATTTTATAAAAATTAATAGATTACCATTTCACAAGCATTGTTGAGAAAATAAACATAACATGATGACGAGTCGTTATCTCTTTCAGAGTCTTTAGATGATATGAGACATTTTTTAAATTCAATTTCAAGTTTGCTGAATGCCAATGAAAGTTTAACTACAAATTCTCCATCAAAAACCTTAAATAAAAAAATGTTTAAATTTAATATTATTATTTATAAGTAAAAAATCTTCACAGAAAAACTAATTTTGTTTACTAACATTTCCTGCATTTCTTATCATAGTTAGTGTTTCTTCATGTAAACGCTTTGTGCTTAACACAATGTCAGTTGCAACTGATCGTAATTCCTTCTAATATCAAATAGAAAATTATAAATTAAGAAAAATACTAAAACCATTATAACCTACTTCCTTAATTTCCTGTTTAATAATGCTGATTTTTTTTACATTATCATTAGTAGAATCAGTTAATTTTTTCAAATCATCTCCTTTAAATAGTTTTTGTTTCAGTAATATTTCTCTGATCAAGCTAAATAATAATAATWATTATTATTTTTAAGCATTTAAAAATGGCATTAATTTATTATATGTAATTATTACTCAATTAAGTTATTTGTRGCCTCCAAAAATTCCTTGAGAATAGCCCATTCATCTTGACTTAAAGGAGTAAATCTACATAGCGATTGGCTATGGGTGCGTTTACTCTGGTGTTTAATTTGTTTCTGTTTTTCTTCCCATGATTTTAGTGACAGTTCAAGTGCCTTATTTCTGCATAACATTTTCATTCTGTTTTTGTGAATTATACGAATCATTCCAGGAGGCTGTACCCATGCCTCACCATCTACTTGTATTGGTACCCCTTCATCACCTGAGTTAAAAGTAAAATTAACATTTCTATGTGTGAAAGTAAAATAAGCAATGCATACCCATAATATTTATTTGAACAGTAGTACATTGAGCAATGCGATGATGTTGTAAGTTTATTAAACGTGATGCAGCCATTTGGATAGTTCCAAACACAGCGACCACTTCTAATATCCTATCATCAATACTTGGAGCTAAAAAGACTCTGTCTTCTTTAGTACCACCCCAAAAATTAGTACCACCCATGAAACTAAATATTAAACATTAATTAATTGATTTGAATCTAAGTAAAAATAATACCAAATTTGACAAATTACCTTGGAATATTAAGTATTACAATTCCTTGCAACGAAGGAAGTGGAATTCTTTGTCCATCACATTCCAGTTGTACTCTTTGATCCAAATTTTTATAAGTTTTCTTATCAAATAGATTAATTACCAAAATTAAAATAACATAACATTTGTATACATTATACAGTTATACAGTAGTTACTTGATAATTTGAAATTCAGGGAACCAAGCTAAAAATTTGATCTAAAGAGATTTTCGATTTACCAGGAGTTCAAAATAATTGAGAAAAAAATAATAATTTGAATTAAGAGGATGTTACACCCGCATGTGTTGTCTCAGTCTTACAAGTGCATAACATTGCAAAAACAGTTCTTTTGCGCGGGAAAGAACCGAGAAAGCTACAGTTATAACTAAGAAACAAAATTTTCACCACATAAAAAGGAGAATTTTGTCTGTGCAATATAGTTTTTATTTTTTTGATATCTGAACTACAAAAAAAGTTATTCATGCTTAAAAAACACAAAATTAATGTATTATGAAACAATAAGAATTTTTTTTGTATAAGTGATATCGAAAAAATAAAAACGATATTGCACAGACAAAATTCTCCTTTTTATGTGGTGAAAATTTTGTTTCTTAGTTATATCTTTTACCTGCTTTAACTATCGAGATCACTTTTTTTTTTTTGTCGACGATCGACAAACATTTATAAT